ACATCCATTCCTGCTCTCCCAGTGGAGAGCTGGTTGGTGGAAGCCTAGAGAATTGGGATGACTCCCCCAGGAGTAGGGCCCAGACACAGGTGGAGTCTACAGGTAAAGAGCCCTTTGGGATGAGCTGCAGATGTGGGCTCCTGGCACAAGCACCATCACCTTCTTGTTCTGGGCAAGGAAGGAGCTCAGTAGGAGCTGGGGCAGGATGGGTCAGCCCCAATTCCTGCCAGGAAAGTCACCTGCAGGGGCTGGGGGGGAGTCCCTGCTGTTTGTTCTGCGCAGTGGCAAGAGCCAGGGCCTGGCCTCTAGGGCCTCCTGTCTGAGCAAGAAAGGTCTCTGAGGCCCAGAAGGACCCCAGGAGTAGATGAGGAGCCGGTCTCCCCGCAAGGCCCCATGTGCCTGCCGCCCGTGAACCTTTATCTAAGCTCTGACCGCTGGGGTGTCCGGTCTCCTGGGGCTGGCAGCTTTGCAGGGCCTCTCTTACTCCAAAGCTGTACTGTTAACTCTGGCCCCCCTCCTGGGGTTTTAAAAAAGTCCCACCACCCTTCTCTTCTGTGTGTGGAGAGCCCTCGCAGACCCGCCCTCCCTTAGCAGCTCTGTATAGAGAGCTGCCAAGGCTGGGGCCCCAGAGAAGGAGAGGTGAGTTTCCCGGAAGGCTGCCTGGGTCGGTGCTGCTCCTCGCTTCAAGGAGGTGAGGTCCTGTCCTTGTTGCCATCTCTGATCCCCTAAGCATGAGGCAGGGGCTCTGGTGGTGCCGGGGTGTGGGTGGGTGGGGCAGGAGAACCCCATTTTGGGCGACAGGTCAGGAAGATGGTGGGTGCATTTAGAACTGGAGGTGGCAGAGCTGTAAGAGGCTTTGATGTTGGAACGAAGACCCTGCATGGAGGAAATCCCCACTGTCCCTCCTGAACTGATAGCCACCCTTGGGACCAGATGATGATAAAGCTGGAGCGGAGCATGAAGGGTACCCGTATTCTGGGCCTGGTGCTGTCCTTAAAGGAATAAGTCAGCCTCGTGCTGTGTTAGAGGCCAAGTGACCAGGGTGATTTTGAGCCAGTCTGCTTCAGAGCATGCAGCGTGCTCCCAGCAAGCCTGGCCCTCCTGGACCTGGCCAGCAACCTTGAGGGTCCTGAGGGGCTGAAGGGCAGAGGTTCTTTGGTACTCAGTCCCCATTGTCTGCCAGCCTCCTAGAGACAGAGCCTGGGCTGCCTACGGGCCTGAGGGTTGGGGACTTGCTTCTGCTCTCAGAGCTGGCCCTGGACACAAAGGTAGCACCATGCCTGTGATTGGATGAGGGCAACAGCAGTGACCGCCCACAGGTGGTCTTTGAGTCCTCATTCAACACACCATTCCTTTGGTGACTGTTGGCTGACCCAGGGTCCAGGGTCTGGCTGCACCCCTGATCCTGCTCCCTGTCAATCTGGTCTTCTGAGCCCTTGGTAGGCAGGAGGAAGTGACTGAGAGTCCTGGAGTTCAGCCCAGGGTGGGCATGTGGCAGACATTTGGGTGGGGAAAGGGGACTGGCCCTCAGAGCCCCACCTGGAGCTCAGGTAGGAGGAATGGACAGGACCCTCTAGTAGGAGTCCTAAGGGGCCACAAGAGGGGTACAGGTGTGGTGGAGAGGGCATGTGAGGGGGAGAGAATAAGCATTAGGTGGGCAGATTGCTGAGCGGCAGAGGTCAGGCATACCTTCATTCTGGAACCTCTTTATCACTCTGACACCAGCTGCCTGCCTGTGGCATTCCCTGCTTCTCTGCTGGGCTCGAAATTTGCTACATTGACCTCACAGAACGTACTATTAGAAATTGCATTCTTGGGTCAGGGCAGTTTCTCAGGTGTGTCCACAGGCAGGCTTCTGGGGCTGGGGGAGTATGTGGGGAGGGGGGCTTCTGGACCTTTGGGGTCAACCCTCTCTTGTTCCCTGCCTCCTTTTGGCCAGTGTTGCAAAGGTCTTTAACTACACCAGTAACTGCCTGGAGGCATCCTACTCTCTTAGCAAGCCTCTTGCTGGTAGCAAGCCCTCAGCTTTCTGCCTCCATGAGTGTTGCAAAAACTCCTTAGCTGGACCATTAGTAACTACCTGGAGGCACCCCACTCTGCTAGCAAGCCTCTTGCCTGCAGGCATCCAGCTTTCTCCCTTCACAGCCTGCACCTTTCCTGATTCTGCTGCTGCTGTGTCAGCTGTACTTGCCGCCATTTCCAGGGTTATAGCTCTGTCTTCTGGGTCTAGGAGGTTCTCCGCTCTAGGACTCTTTGCCCCTAGCTTTCTGGTGGTAGTAAGGTTCCTTTTTCCACCTCTGGGAAGGCTCATTTTAAGCTGAGTGGGAAGAAAAAAACTGACCAAACTCCTTATTTGTGTTCTGTACACCTTATTTGCACACTCTTCCCACCACTAGGTTGTCACCCACCTATTTGCATTATCAGTACGGTGTCCAGCCCCCTTGAGCCACAGGCACCTTACTTGCTAGCCCCAGTCTTGTGGGAGATAGAAGACCCTAGCTAGAGAGGCCATAACAAGTTCTTGCACTGTAAGTACAGATTGGGAGGTGACACCCTGGTTAAGCTGCATTTGTTGGCCACTTGGGGCTCTTTGGGACAAGCAAACAGAATACCCCAGAAATAAATTTGGCCCATGTTTGAGGTGGCTCTGGGTATGAAGGGAGCCACTGTTTCTCCAGTGGCTGCTGTGTGAGGCTCTGTGCTTGGGCAGAGCTCGCGTGTGTGGGGTGTGTGTGTGTGTGGGGGGGGGTTCTGAGTGGGGACCAGGAGGACTGGGAAAGGCCTGTGATCTCACCACTGCTGGCACCCTTGAACCCAAGCATCAGGGCCTACGTCTCCCAGCCCCGCTCTGCCTCTGTTTCCTGGCTGCCAGACCTGAATATGTCAGTTGGTGACTGCGGGGCCTCCCTGCCCTAGCTAGGAGCCGTAGTGTCCCATAGGGGTATCTGTGCTTAAAGAAAGTGCTGTGTGCACAACAGCCTGGAGTTGCCACTCTGCAGGTGTTGGAGTGTCATCTTTGTCAAGAAGCGATTACTCATGTGTCCTTGTCTGGCCCCCAAAGGTCTCGGGTAGGGACCAGGAATCTGCCTCCCCATTTGGTCCCTTGCTCCCGCCCTGGGCCAGCTTGTGGGGGCCGAGAGTGTGAGAGTGTGTTGCCAAGTAGTGCCTGGCCTAGCAGAGGGGTCCCCAGTCACTCTTGATGTCTGTGCTGCCCTTATGCTTGGGCTACTGGGGGGGGGGAGTGTGCGTTCAGGAGGCTGCTTGTTCAATGCCTGGGGCGAGCCGGGGCCCCCCTTGGAGAATAGCTTTGCTGTGTCTGCCCTCACTGGGTAGCACCCACCCCTAGAGGTGAGGTTTGGCGATGCCGGGACTTCAGTGTGTCCAGTGCTCCCTGGCACAGCTGCCAGAGACTTGAATGCCCCTTAAACAGCTATGACTGGTTTCCCCAGACACGTGCCCATCGTGGCCAAGACCCCAGCTGCCCCGGCTGAGGGCCTGCCTGGCTGAGTAGATCTGGCACCCAGACGGGCCCGAGACACAATGAGGGCCATTCTCAGAGCAGCCAAGGCCTGTGGGGCAGCCCTGTTCATTGCTCCAGCCCACAAGCCCAGTGTTGTTCTGCGCAGGCTGCAGAGGGGGCGGGGCACGCATCAGGGTGGGGCCTCTCCTATGTCCCTATGGATGAGTGAGCCCCAGACAGCCTTCCTGGGTCCTCTTGGGAGGGACATTCCCTTCCCCATTCAAGGGTCAGTGCCCCTCACAGTTAACCCACCAGTATGTTTGCGAGCCTTATGTTTTCTGTCAGACCTGGGGTGGCACTGTGGGGAAACACAGCAGGACAGTGTGTGTGTGTGTAGGGACATGACTTGGGCATTTGGGAAGAATGGCTGGGTGTGGTAAGGGAGGAGAGGGGCATGAAGGAGGTCATGGGAGCCTTCTGGGGGAGGCGGAGGACTCACAGGTACCCTCATGCAGGTGCTGCCAGCATTTCTCCTGAACTGGCCTCGCTCCGCAGGAGCACCCACCAGGCCCAGCCAGGGCCCGTGTCCCCACCCAATGTGCACATGTACACAGGTCCTAGAGAAGTGGGGATAGGGTATAGACCGGAATGTGTGGGGTGGTGGTGGGGCTTCCTTGTCCAGGTGTATCTGCCATGCATGTGAGGCCACTGTTTGGGTGGCGTTTGGTGTCCTGGTGGTGTATGGTGACATGTTGGCCTGCGGTCCTCAGAGTCAGCAGTTAGAAATCATGGGCCTCCCAAGGGAGAAAGATGGGACTTGTTTCTCCAGTAACCACTTAGTCTTGAAAACCCAAGGGGCAGTTCCACCTACCCGATAGGGTTCCTGTGAGTCAGCACTGACTCCGTGGTTGTGAGTTTGTTTGGGTTTGAGTGGTCTCTGGTGGCGCAATGGACTAAGCACCAGGATGCTACCCACAGGCTAGTTGAAAGCCACCAGCGAAACGTCTGGTCCTGTAAAGATTTGCAGCATAGGAAACCCAGGGGCAGTTCTGCCCTGTCCTGGGGTCAGTGGGACCCTGCCTGTCCCTGTCTCCAGGGCTTCTGTCCCCTGTACCCCTCCGGAGACACTTCCCCTGCCAGCTGCTGGCTCTCATCCCTCAGGAGTCCCTCTGACCCCTCTCTACAGTGGCCCTGCTGCTCTTTGTTTCTGTCCCCACTCTCTCCCTCTCACAGTCCGCCTTGTTCAGTGTCCGTCCGTCCACTCAGTCGGCCCTGTCTCTGAAGGGCACAGGATCCTGCCAACTCTCCAAGTGAGGCCAGGACCACTGGAGCCCCCTCCTCACCTGTTCAGAGAGGCTGGGGGCTGGGCCTACCACTTCTCAGTGCCTCTGAGAGGGCAGGAAGGAGCCTTGTGTTCTTGGGGGTGGGCGTCAGCAGCCCAGCCAAGGGGGCTGTGTGGGACCAGCTGGTGTGCTTGGGGGGAGTGCACCAGCTGGCGCTGGCAGAGGAGCTCCTGGTCCCAGACCCTGGTGCCACGTGCCCAGCCGGCACGGTGCTGCCCAGCCTGGCTCCGGCTGCCCCTGGCGGCCAGCTTGGTGAGCTCATGTGGCTGGATTGGGGTGGGTGGGGGTGGCACCTTGGAGGCCTGGGATTCCCCAATGTTCACCTGGGCCTGGGGAGGGAGGCCTCAGCAGAGCCGAGGGCCTGTGCCCACCATGCTCCCTGCCAGGGCTGCCTCCTGGAGGTACTGGCAATCCCCTTTGTTGGTGCCTGGACCCCTCTGACTTGTCTGCAGGGAAATTTTCCTCTGACTCACTGTGCTGGCGCTTCCTGTGGTCACCAGGGCAGGGCCAGGGACCCAGGCTCTCTGCTCTGGGGTCACTGGGGGAGGGTGGCCAGGGTCCCACCCCCTGACAGGATGTGATTCCCAGAGACCATATTTGGGAACTTGGCTTTTGTGGGTTTTTTGCTAGCAGCCTAGGTTTAAGGGTGGGAGCCTGGTGGGCTGGGGCATCCCCTGTCCTGCCCATCCCCAGGCCGCCACGGTCACCTATGGCCCCTGTTGAGTGGGTCCCAGGAGTTAGCCCATATTTTTTTCTAGAGGGTGAGCCGTTTTCAACCCCAGAGCAAGAAGTGCTCGTTAAGTATGAATCAAAGTCCTGAGCAGGGGAGGCATGTGTCCCTGTCCCAGCACCTCTGACCTTTGTGCCACTGGTCCTTCCTGCTCAGCTCCGTGCTTAACTAGCTTGAACTCTTTAGGGCTCCACCCCCGACTGCCCCCAAACCATCTGTGTGGGGTGAGGGTGGGTATGTGCTCCTGAGGAATAGTGCTAAGCTTTGGGCTCCCAGGCAGTGGAGGGCCTGGGTCTTAGTGCCCAGCCCCCTCCCCCTCCCCTGTGTGCTGCCCTGTCATTGTGTTAGGCTGAGATCCGGTCTCTGGCTCTGGTTGCTGGTGGAGGTGGCCCCTGGGTTGGGATGAGACCTTGTTCCCACTCCTCTGTGTCCCTGAGGGCCATTTCCTGTTTCGGATGGAGGGGGCGGGACCCCTACGGGTCTGGAATTCCAGGGTCACTGAGAGGCGGAATCTGATTTGATGGTAGTTAAGTGTGGTTTGACTCTTTAAAGGGGGAGTAGGCCCACTGAAGAGGCCTCCCAGCCAAGGGCGCCAGGGGCCACGCCCCTTCTACCAGGCTGTGCAGCAGCCCTGCTGAGAAACAGCAAGGGACCTCAAAATGCAGAGGCCTGGCCCTGCATCCTGTCCTCTGCAAAAGGCTGCTTGCTGCCCCTGTGACCCCTCCCAGGCGAAGTGCTCCCCGCCCTGCGCTAGATGCTTGGCTCCTGGGCCACTGGGAGCAGGCATCTCCAGGAGGCAGTGCAGATGACAGAGATGGAGTGGGAAATGCCTATACTCGGGACAGACCACGCCCTGGTTTATTTCATTCTCGGGGACTCCAGGCTCCACACCCACACCTTGCACCTGAATCTGCCCCTGGATGCGTGTCTGTGGGGACAAAATCACAACGCACTGCCATCCCGCAGCAGCAGCCCGTAGGAGAGGGTAGAACTGCCTCTGGGTTCATAGGAGTAGAAAGTCACATCTGTCTCCCAAGGAATGGGTGTTGGTTTCTAAGTGCTGACCATGCAGGTCACAGCTCAGTGGAGAGCCATGGTGCCTCCAGGGCTGCCCCCTCTGTGGCAGATGCGCCTTTTATCACATTACCAAGAAGGATCTGTGTCCCAGCCTCCCTGGGTCTACGCCCATCACCTTCATCTGTGCCAGGCCCTCCTTCTGGGGTCCAGGGGGCTCTGGCTGGGAGCAGCAAGCACACTGGCATGGTGCGTGTGACCCCTGGGCTGGCTGACATGAGCCTGTGACTGTGCCACCCAGCCAGGGTGCTCCCAGGGATGCCCCGGGCTGCTTCTACTTGTGAGGCTTCCAAGCCACCCTTGGGGTTCATTCTTCAGGTTTTGTAGGGTTTCCTGTTGGTGTTTCTGTCTTGTTGGTTCTGACTTTTAGGGCGCCCCTGAAGCCTAGTCACCTACTAATCCTTTCAGGACCTGCCACCCTTCATCCAACAGAATGATCCACACAAATGGAGTCATTGTAGCCATGGGTTTGTCATCGTCCCTTTGTGATCTGTGCCCTTGGGGGCTCTGCTCTTGGGATTTCGCCCCACAATATTCCCCGAGTCTCGTGTTGCAAGCGTGGTCTCCCTCAGACACTGTAGTCTCTGCCTCTTCTACCCGTCCTGCTTGTCCATCATTTATCCCTGCTTGTCCCTGGTCCTCCATGCAGCGTGGACGGAGCCCTCTTTAGTCCCTGGTCATCCCAGTGAATCCACGTGTGAGCCATCCACCAGCCAATCTGTGTCTGATCCCGTGCCAGCAGTCTCCCACACACACACTGGCTGGCGTCCTACCTTGTCTTGGCGGCTACAAAGGTGAACAAACACTCCTTTCCTTTAACTTCCAAGGTTGGACCTACTTACTCACAGACCTCCTCTGAGTCTCTATGTAAGTCTAGAAGCAGTTTTGTCGAATTCCTCACATCCCACTGGCCTTTATATTGTAGATATAGTGAGAGGGCAAGAAGATGTAAGCTCAGAGTCCCTCCATGAGCATGCATGGTACACTTTCCACCGAGCAAGCTGCCCTCGAACCTTCTGTGAGCTGCGAGACAGCGCTTTCTCCTCCGAGTCTCGGGCAGCTTTGATGAATTCCTCAGTGCCTTTCGGCTCTGGTGGTTGTGCAGGACGTCTTGTTCGGGACGTTTCTCAAAAGTTACTCAGCCTTCTCGTTTGTTGGGTTTTCTGTGTTGATGATTATCTGGTCTGCAAATGTTGGTCGTTTTGCCCCCGCCTGTCTGTTTCCCCCTTCTCATTTTGTTCCTCTTGGCCAACAGCACTGGCCAGGGTAGCAGGACTGCATGCGCTGGAGCAGAGAGGGTGTGTGCATGCATGTCCTGTTCTCAGCCATGGAGGGAAGGTGTTTGAGATTTCTCTGTTAACTATCGGGACTTAAGTTTAGGGAGGTTCCGTGTTTTTGCCTTGGAAAGCGGTGGACTTTGGCCAGCTGCTGTTGGTGTATCCCTTGATGGTGTGTGCTTTCTCTTTCAGTGTGGTCTGAGTCTCTGCCGCTCTCCTCTGCTGGTCCAGGCCCAGCCTGGCCCGGGGAGTGGGTGTGAGACCGACAAGGTCATGACCAAGCGGAGCCAGGTGCCTCTCGGTGCAGGGCGGTTAAGGCCACCTTGCATGTGCCCCAGCCTCACACTGCTGTGTCCTCTCTCCCTAGAACGTGCTGGCCAAAGCCCTCTACGACAACGTGGCTGAGTCGCCCGATGAGCTCTCCTTCCGCAAGGGCGACATCATGACCGTGCTGGAGCGGGACACCCAGGGCCTGGACGGCTGGTGGCTCTGCTCCCTGCACGGGCGCCAGGGCATCGTGCCTGGGAACCGCCTCAAGATCCTGGTGGGCATGCACGACAAGAAGCCTGGGCCCAGCCTGCCAGCCTCCCCAGCCCAGGCCCCTGCCGTGCCGCTGGCCTCCCAGTACACACCCATGCTGCCTGCCACCTATCAGCCTTCACCAGACAGTGTCTACTTGGTGCCCCCGCCAGGCAAGGCCCCACCCGGCCTCTACCAGGCCCCAGGGTCCGGCCTGCATTTCCAGTCCCCGCCAGCCAAGCAGACGACCGCCTTTTCTAAGCTGACGCCCCACCATCCATTTCCCAGCCCGGCCCCCGATCTCTACCAGGTGCCCCCAGGGCCCGGCAGCCCTGCCCAGGATATCTACCAGGTGCCCCCCTCCATGGACACTCGCAGCTGGGAGGGGACAAAGCCACCCGCAAAGGTAGGTCACCTGCCACGGGCACGGAGCTGTGCGGTGCTTTTCCGGCAGGCAGGTGGTGCTGGGCAGATCCCCAAGGAGCATCTCTGTCCCCCAAGAGCGGTCTCCTCTCCAGGCCGAGGGCTGAGGGTTTTTTGGGGTGTGAGCTGTCCAGATCCACATCCCAGTAAAGTCGTTGTGACGGCAGAGTACAGGGTGTGGTGCGGCGTAGGGGGCCAGGGCCGAGACTGGGAGCCCAGGAAATTTGAGGGAGTAGGGGGTATGCACTTGCATGAGAGATATCAAGTATATCAATTAGACCTGAAAACAAAATTTGGGGAGTTTAGGGGTGAGCAGTCAGTGACTGACCTTGTGGTCTGGGATGGTTGCCTGAACTACAGCCATCCTATCTGCCTTCTGGCTGGCAGGAATAAACAGAAGGGATAGGCAGGGTATACCCCTCTTTAAGAAGGCACCCAGGAAGTTGCATGTGGGGTGCCTCTTGTGCCCCATTAACCAGAGCTTAAGCCCGTGGCTACCTAGCCACCAGGGAACCTGAGGGATGAAGTCTGCTTCCTGCAGCCACCTGTCCTAAGGGGCCCTCCATAGTTGCTGGTCCTGGTGGTCCTGCAGCCTGAGGGGCCTCCCATCAGCCCTTGGGGTTTATGTGCTGGCTCCCAGACTTTCTGCACTTTGGCCTCCTGGACGCTGCCCGTGGAATTGCCAGACGGGAGGGTTCCAGCCGCGCTGCGGGGCTGCCTGAGCCTAAATTCCCGCTGCACCCCAGAAGCTGGCCAGAGGGGAAAGGCGTCCTGGGCTACCTTGATCATTTATTTCACGATCTGGAGAGCTTCCCTGATGGGGAGGGTCCCTGGGACTCTGGGGAGGGGTGTGGCATTTTCCTGCTGTGAATTACCCAATAGAAGCCTGCGGGTACTTCCGGGCTGGTTTCTGGCTCCTGGAGCCTTCATCACCGAGCATGTGGCTCCTGATGCTCCTGGTGTGGTGGGAGGAAAGCAGGAAGCTGAGAGTTATTGACAAGGGGGTGTGGCCAGAGGGGTCAGACTCCTACAGGCTGGGGTGGGGGCTCTGTGGGGACACAAGTGGGAGCTAAGTGGCCCGAGGGACTGAGGGAGAGGGCTCGGGGACACCAAGGCTGGGATGGAGGCCCTCTGTGTGCAGGTGGGGCCCCCAGACGGGAAGGGGTTTGTTGTGTGAGCTCCCTCATGGTGCTTCTGGGTCACGGGTCACAGCAGTGCCAGGGAGCAGGGGTGGCACAGTGTGCGCTGGGCTCTGCAGCTCCTGCATACCACCCTGCCTGCCCAGGGAGCCTGAAGTGGAGGGGAGCACAGCCCATCCCTGTCCCCTCAGGCCTGTCACAGAGCAGTGGCCGTGACGGGCCAGGAGTCTGAGATGGCCAGGTCAGAATCCCTCACACTTCTGTGCGTCTGAGCACCTGTCGTCCCCTCTGCTAGGGGTTTCCGGGGCCCGGGTGGAGGGTGTGACACTGGACCTCAGGGTCAGAAGGCAGGGGTCAGCAGCCAGGTGGCCTCCAGGTGGGTTGTGGCCCCCCAGATAGAATTCAGCTGTGTTCTGGCAAGGCCAAGAAGCCCCTCCCTACCACCACCCCTCGCTGGGTTCTGCTGTCCACTGGAGCCTGGCTGGGAGGCCGGCCCTGGCCCTACTGGGGTGTGAGTGCCTCAGGGCTTGTGTCTTGGGCCTGGTGTCGGTGTTGGGGGGTGAGGGGAGAGGCCTTCCCCAACAGGTCTGCTGTGGGATGAGGGGAGCCTGCTGCTGTCGGGCCTCGGGTGCAGTGCAGCATGCTGGCCACACGGTTCTGCCAGCTCCCCAGGGAGTCGTTGACCTGGCGAATGTCTGCCCGTTGGTGGCTGGCATACTTTCTATAATAAAAGGACATCTGCTGGCCGGCATGGCTGCTGGCTGGCACTGGCTGTCGGCTGTCTGGCGAGGCCTGGACTTCAGTGCCCTGTCCCATCAGGCCACTCACAGGCACAGTCAGGGGGAGGGAGGGCAGGTACCCCCTTCCTAGGGCCAGGCCCCACCTGCCCCCAGGATGACCAGAGGGTCTGGAGGCCTTGGTCCTTCAAGGCCCCCACCAACCTGCCACGTCCCGCCTGCCCCCGCCTGCTGCTGGCAGGTTCTAGCGTCTAAAAATAGCTCTGGAGGAGACTCAAGTCTGGGGCTCTAGGAGGGGGATGAGTCTGGCCTTGCAGACACTGCGGGGGGAACAGTGAGCAGGAAGGCCCAGGCTGTCTGGGCCCCCCCACATAAAGGAGCCCCTGCCTGCCTGGCTTCCCTGCTCGGGCCCCTGTGCTGGGCTGCAGGAGGGGGCAGGCTAGTGCCAGCAGCAGGGTCCACCAAGCTTAGAAATGGTGGTGCCCGTGCTGCGGGGTGGGGGCAGAGGGTAGAGGGTTGACACTTTGTTCCTCGGTGCCCTGTGGGCACAGGCAGCTGCTCCCTCTCAGCGTGCAGAGCTGGCTGCAGTCAGCGGGCACACGGAGGGATGTGTGCGGAGGGCCCGAGCCGTCCCATCCCCTTTGATTAGGGAACAAAAGGCCTTTCTCTCAGGAGAACCGGGTGGGGGAGGCGAGGCCTCTGGGCAGGGCTGTCCAAAGGGAGGGGCTGCCCAGCACACCACACCCCTCCCAGATTGTCCGCTGCTGTGAGGACCGACACGGCCTGGGGTACAGCTTTCTGAACTCTGGGGGCCGTGAGCACCCTGGAGCAGGCTCCCTCAAGCATGCTTGCAGCTGCTGCACAGTGCCAGTGCCCCCCAGCAGAAGCCCACCACCCCGGACCCCAGGCCCAGGTGGGAGTGCAGGTAGAGCAGCAGTCTTTCCGGCGTGGTGGCCACTGGGCAGCCTGCCCCAGGGTGGCTCTGGGTGCGGAGACTGGGGAGGGATCTGTCCCCAGAGCAAGGCGCCGGCCGCTGCTGGGCCCTGCGATCAGGCGTTTGCTTCCTTGTCAGCGGGCCATCCAGGGTCGGAACTGCCAAGGCCCCTCGCCTGCAGGCCTGGCCCTCCTCTGTGCCCCTCCTCTTAGAAGGAAGGGGTGGCATCCAGGAGCAAGGAGTCTCCCTGGGGGCCATTCTGCTGCGGGTGGTGATGGTCGCCTTGTCTCTCCCCCCAGGTGGTGGTGCCCACCCGCGTGGGACAGGGCTATGTGTATGAGCCCCCCCAGCCGGAGCAGGACGAGTATGACGTCCCCCGCCACCTGCTGGCCCCAGGGCCCCAGGACATCTATGATGTGCCCCCAGTGCGGGGGCTCCCTTCCAACCAGTATGGCCAGGAGGTAGGTGGTCGTGGTGGGTGTCGGACTGCCCCTTGTCTGACCTTGTCCAAGGGCTGGCTGTTGGGCTCTGCTCAGGCAGGTAGACGAGTTTCTTCAGTCGGGTCCTGGGGGCATGCTGTGGACTTTCACTCTTCTCAACTCAGCCCTGCAGTCCTGGCACGGCTACCACTGTACCCTTTCTGCCTCCAGGTATATGACACGCCCCCCATGGCTGTCAAGGGCCCCAATAGCCGGGACCCATCACTAGACGTGTATGATGTGCCCCCCAGTGTGGAGAAGGGCCTGCTGCCCCCCAGTCATCACTTGGTGAGTAGCTGGCCACCAGGTGCCCCTCCTCCTCCCAGTCCATGCGTGTGTGTTTCTGTGTGTGACCGGGTGTGTGCACAGGGGTGGCCGCCCAGAGACCTGACCCCAGATACGCCAGCTCTGCCTCTTCCTTGTGCTGGGACAGATAGGAGAGCTTCTGAAGCTCGGTGTCTCGTGGTCAAGATGAACGTTGCTGAGACACTCTCACAGGATAGACCAGGAAGGTGACTAGTATTTACCACACAAGCCAGGACAGTGTAAAGTAGAAGGAGGCACAACCGGCAGCCAAGGAGGGACCACGCCACAGCCCAGGATTGTCCTAGGCAGGTGGGGTGGGGGGGGGATGGTCACCCTGGATGTGATGTAACACACACAAGTAGCTCAGCCCGAGTACCTGCCAGAGTTAAAATCCCACGAACTTACCGGTGGTGCTAGTGGTACACAGCCACGGTGGTAATGTGGCAGATGGCGACGGCGAGAGTGGTGCTGGTACTGCGGGAGGGGATCTGATGGGGAGATGGTAGTGGTGGGAGGGACGTGCTGGTGGGGTCGGTGGCCGTGGCAATAGTGTGGATGGTTATGGCGGTGGTAGTGTGATGGTGGCGGTGTTGGTATTGATGGAGGTGACGGCCGTGACGATCGGTGGTGGTGGGTAGTGAGGGAGTGTGGAGATGAGATGCTAGGGATTTGGTGGTGGTGAGGCTGCTGAGGTGGTCGAGGCAGTAAAGGCGGTGATGGGAATGACAGGGACGAGATGGCAGTGATAACAGGGATAGTAATGCTGGTGGGGGTGCTGAGATGGGGACGATGATGCAGTGACAGGGTCATACTGGTGCCGAAATGTGGTGCCGTGGTGGTGGTAATGATGATAGTGAGGGTGCCGATGCGGATGGTCATGATCAGATGGTGTTGGCGATGGTAGTGATAGTGCTGGTGGTGATTGTGATGGTGGCAGTGGCGATAGTGAGGGCGTTAATGAGGATGATCGTGATTAGATGGTGTTTGTGATGGTGGTAATGACAACGGTGATGCTGGTGTGACTGAGAGTGATGCCGATGGTGATAGGTATGACTAATAGTGATGACGATGGTGGTGTTGTGACTAATAGTGATGATGATGGTGATGTTGTGACTGAGAGTGATGCCGATGGTGATAGGTATGACTAATAGTGATGACGATGGTGATGTTGTGACTGAGAGGGATGACGATGGTGATGGTGTGACTGA